CCCTGGGGCAATTGTTTCCAGGTGTACTGGATGCCTCTCCAAGTGAAGGCAAACTGGCCTGCACTCTGGCGCTATCGGAATGGAGAACGCGTTAGCAATGTCAGTCATGGCGTACCACTTGGCTGCCTTCGACTCCAGTTCATACTGGAGCTCGAGCATGACCAGCACTGCAGCACTCATTGCTGGCATCACTTCATTCAGGCCACGGTAGTCCACAGTCAGCCTCCATTCGCCATTAGGCTTTCTCACTGGCCATATAGGGCTGTTGAAGGGTGAGTGAGTTTTGCTGATCACCTTCTGGCTTTCTAGTTGACGGATCAGCTGATGGATGGGGACCAGGGAATCTCAGTTGGTGCGGTACTGCCGCCGGTGCACCATCCTGGTAGCAATCAGCACTCGCTGCTCCTCAACCTTAAGCCGCCCCACCACTGAGGGATCCTCTGAGAGGCCGGGTAAGGTGGACAACTGTTCAACCTCCTCCAGGGCAGCTACACCAAAAGCCCACTGGTACCCTTTTTGGTCTTTGAAGTGCCCTCTCCTGAGATAGTCTGTGCCCAGGATGTACGGGGCATCTGGGCCAGTCACAATGGGATTTCTTAAACTGGCAACACACCTTTTCTAAGCACTCCAACAGTTTATCGGGGCTCTGCATTTGTTCGGGAGTGAGATTCCAAAACATTGGGGGTGACCACTGACTCAGGTACTTGCCCATCTTTTCCCACACACCTTGCCACTCATAAGTATCTGACCTTGGGGCAGGTTTCCAGGTGATGCTATTGTTGGAGAAATACCGCATGGCTCAAAACAAGGCCTGGCAGGCATTCAGAAAGCATTGTGCAGCAAACACACTGGCTTCGATGCTCCAAGGATAGTTAAAACTCTCAAAAACCGAGAGGATCTCTTCCTCTGGCTCACCCATAGAGGGGGTGAGACCCCTAACAAAAGCCCAGGCAGCAAAAAGGTTACAACTCACCCCCACAAACAGTGATACGAGCACATTATAAGCAGTCAGTAGCTAGTATAGCAAAACAAGACCCATGACACATTTTCCATTGATAACAAACACCAGCACTGGGATCACACAGTGGATATAAGGATTAATCCAGCCCCACCATGCAAGCAAGTGGGACAGCATTGCAAATATTTTCTTATCAAACAATGCAAATGAAAAAAGAAAAATTGCACCCAACAGATTGCTCCAACACACTCCGGTCAGGGTCAGTCCCTTTTTGATCCTTATCTCAATCCAATCCATTGCCCCACGTTGGGCGCCAAAAAGGCTGTGATGGTTTAGGCCCTGCCAGGACCGGAGACCATGTTGCCGTTGTCCTTCCCTCACCCTCGGACCGGTCAAGGCAGGGAATGAGATACTGTGATGGTTTGACTCTGGCTAAATGCCAGGTATCCACCAATTCGCTCTATCACTTCCCCCCCCCCCCCCCCCCCCCCCCCCCCCCCCCCC